TCCATCCATCCATGGACTCCATCCATCATCCATCCATCCACCCACCCATGGATTCCATCCATCCATCATCCATCCATGGATTCCATCCATCATCCGTCCATGGACTCCATCCATCCATCCACCCACCCATGGATTCCATCCATCCATCATCCATCCATGCATTCCATCCATCATCCGTCCATGGATTCCATCCATCCATCCATCCATCATCCATCCATGGACTCCATCCATCATCCATCCATGGACTCCATCCATCATCCATCCATCATCCATCCATGGATTCCATCCATCATCCATCCATCCATCCATGGATTCCATCCATCCATCATCCATCCATCCATGGATTCCATCCATCATCCATCCATGGATTCCATCCATCATCCATCCATCCATCCATGATCCATCCATGGACTCCATCCATCCATGATCCATCCATCCATCCATCCATCCATCATCCATCCATCATCCATCCATCATCCATCCATGACCCATCCATGATCCATGATCCATCCATCCATGATCCATCCATCCATGATCCATCCATGATCCATCCATGATCCATCCATGATCCATCCATGATCCATCCACGACCCACCCACGACCCATCCATGACCCATCTGTGACCACGATGCATCCATGACCCATCCATCCATCCATGACCCATCCACGACCCATCCACGATGCATCCGTGACCCATCCATGATCCATCCATCCATCCATGACCCATCCATGACCCATCCACGATGCATCCGTGACCCATCCATGATCCATCCATCCATCCATGACCCATCCATGACCCATCCATGACCCATCCGTGACCCATCCATGATCCATCCATCCATCCATGACCCATCCACGCCCCACCCACGACCCACCCGTGACCCATCCGTGACCCCCCCCACCCCTCGGCGCCGTCTCCGTCCCCGCCGCTCACCGGCGCCGTAGGGGTCGGCTTTGTGGTGCCGCGGCGACGGGTGGTGCTGGATGACCTGCTGCGCTTTTGCCGGCGCCGGCTGCGGCTGCGGCGGCGCCGGCGGCTGCTGCTGCTGCGTCGGCGGCGCCGGCTGCGGCGGCGGCGGCGCCGGCGGCTGCGCCAGGTGCGACGGGAAGGGCAGGGGCTGCAGGTGCAGCGGGCGCGGCGGCGGCTGCAGCGGCTGCACCGCGGGGTGCGCCGGCGGCGGCGGCAGCGCCGGGGGGGGCGGCGGCGGCTGCGGCTGCGGCGCCGGCTGCGACTGGACCTTCACTGAAGGGAGAAGCGGAGGCTGCGGCTGCACCTTCTGCAGCTGCTGCAGGTACAGCTGCATCTGGCTGGCGCTCAGCGGCAGGCCGTGGTGCGGCGGCGGCGCCGGCGGCACCGGCACCGGCGCCGGCGGCTCCTCGTCCTCCAGCAGCACCTGCGGCGGCTGCGGCAGCGGCGGCTGCGGCAGCAGCGGCTGCGGCGGCGGCTGCGGCGGCAGCGCCGGCGACGGGGCCGGCGGCCGCGGCGGCTTCGGGGGCAGCGCCGCCGCGCGGTTGCTGGGCCTCGAGGGCTGCTGAGGCAGAGCGTTGTGCAAAGCTGCGGGACAGGACACGGCCAGAGGTCAGGAGAGCTCCACGTCCCCCGTCCCACCCAACCTTCTCCTCTTCTGCCACATGACGCGCTGGTGGGACCAGGAGAACTTCCAGGACCACCCTGCACCTTCCCGTCCCAGCTGGTATCAGCACCTTCCTCTGGCATGTGCCAGGGAGCACACGGTGGTGGGGCCAGGAGAACTTCCAGGGCCACCCTGCACCCT